CGTTCCGATAGAAATCGTGATTCATCACTGAACCAGATTCTACGCCAATTCGGTAGGTTCCAGGCCTGAACGTTGGTGTACCATTGAACTCGATGTCCACGATGTTGTTGTCGAAGCACAGGGCCAAAATAAGGTCTTCTGGCACGTAAACCAGCCTCTCTCAACCTGTTCCTGACGGTCTGTGCAGAAAGCCTCCTCAATCCGGGTATTTGTCGAGCGGTACTGGTCGCCGTAGCTGTTCGATGACGCAGGTGATGTACCCGGATGTAGCGATCCTGCGCCGCAGTGGTTCCTCGAGGTCGCCCACTACGAGGGGCATCTGCTACCGCATTCTGCCGGCGATATCTCTCTCAGAGCCTTGAAATGGTGCTTTGGTGAACATGCATGCGTCGGGCAACTGCACGTTGAGACTGGCCAGCTTCACGCAAACCAATGGCGATATGACGGTTGGCTTCACTTAGACGTGGCATTTTGCGTTCGTCAACAATATTCCAAATACAGTGAATAATCGACATACAGCGATCAACCTTTTATACCCATCATCTGATCCCCAACTTTCACGTGCATTGCATATGAATTGTGTATTCTGTGACACTACACGCCGAAATTGAAAATCATGCTGTTAAATACGGGTATTTTACGGATGGTGCGTTTTGTTGTGATGCTTCAAAACATAAACACCATAGGACTCATAAACAGAGCAAAACCTTTTATAAAATGAATCACGTTTTAATTCATTGCTACATGAAATTGCTATTTTCATGATGCATTTCTTTTTTGGGAGAGTATATAATAAAATATTTAAAAAAAAAGTTTTAAACTGTCTTTATTACTTTCCGCAGACCCTGCAGCAGTTAAAATATCAGTAATGAAGAAAACACCAAAGTTGATCATTAAAAGACAGAGAGTAATCCCATGACCAGTCTGTGAAAAGAATGTTTTTCCTTTCCTTCATTATTTTGCGATCGATGATTACAGAAACTATTCCCACGCGGTTTCATTAATAGTTCAACCACCGACACTGTTTTGTCAAAAGCGCGCTACGTTTTCATCACATGACGTCAATGTTGGGGCTAGGGGCGAAAAATACTTTTTAAACTTTGCTTTTCAAACTACGTTTCTGTGTTCATATTTCATTCAGCCAAGAGTGAGTGAGTGAGTTTAGTTGTACGCCGCGTTTAGCAATATTAAAGCAATATCGCTGCGGGGGACACCAGAAATGGGCTTCACACGTTGTACTTATGTAGGTAATCGAACCCAGGTCTTCGGCATGACGAGCGAACACTTTAACCACTAGGCTACCCCAACGCCCCAATTCAGCTTTAACCTTTGCTTGACTAAATGTGTGTGAAACAAAGAGCGTGTGACCCCTTGTGTGACGACGTTTGAAGTAAAGAGGGTTTGGTAGGAGCTGTGTGACAACAAACACTAACTGTTTTATGCTGATCTGCATGACAGGCGTGTGGTACAAGAGTGACAGGCGTGTGGTACAAGAGTGACAGGCGTGTGGTACAAGAGTGACAGGCGGATGGTACAAGAGTGACAGGCGGGTGGTACAAGAGTGACAGGCGGGTGGTACAAGAGTGACATGCGGGTGGTACAAGAGTGACAGGCGTGTGGTACAAGAGTAACAGCCTGGTGGTACAAGAGTGACAGGCGGGTGGTACAAGAGTGACAGGCGGGTGGTACAAGAGTGACAGGCGGGTGGCACAAGAGTGACAGGCGTGTGGTACAAGAGTGACAGGAGGGTGGTACAAGAGTGACAGGCGGGTGGTACAAGAGTGACAGCCGGGTGGTACAAGCTTACCCTTATCGCCAATACTAGCTGTCATCACTTTCAGCGGTCCTGTATAATGTTCAGATTTTGTTTCCTATTTACGCTCAATTACAATCTATATGGTTGGATAACTAAACATGTATTTAAGTCCCGGCTGTATAATGTGGGGTATTTGATCTCTGCCACATTTGTGACAACCACAGATCATAATCAGATTTCAAGTTTGATCGTAACCAAAATTTGTTTACTTTTTCAAACAGCAGAGACTTGTACAACATTACCACAAAATGATATAAACGTCACGCCAGTTTCACAATCATGTGCAAGAGAAAGGAAAATAATGAACTTTACGTTGATAAGTATTCTTCCTTGAACTCGAAATATAAATCAAGAATTCCAACTGTGTTGCGCAATATTATCAAGCGCCATGGTCCTTCAGCCAAAAGATATTCCCGTACGACTTGGAGACGTTATTACACAGACGATCAGCGGGATCGTTATCAAGTCGGTTATTCAGGCCTATATGGACACCAGAATACCGTTTAGATGATCTGAACAGACACGGCTGAATGTAAATAGGCCTGATAATCTGTCGTATATCTGGGGTTCTAGCCTCCAGCTTGATGTAACTACCATGCAATCATGGGTTGGCGTGATATGACCAGACAGTATGCGGGACCCCCGACCCTCAACAATCCCACCAAATCTCTCATTTTACCGTGACACTAATCTTCTTACCGCGCGGGTATATCTCATTGACGTCGGCGTGTCTCATTGATCGTATTAACACAATGTCTTGCATGAGGTAACGTATCGGAGACTGCCACGTGGTGTCACGTCATGTAGACACGGTATGTGTCAAAGATGAACGTCTGTCACATAAGCTCCTCGATGCCAGCCATCATGTCATCTTGCTCTGCAGTCATTCGATCCTATTGTTGAACTTTGAAATTATTTCCCACAATTCAATTATGATAACGCTTTCTCTGTGTTATGGTCTTGAAAAAAATCCATATCGTTTGTCTCCGGAGTGTGACCTGATGCCACGTCTTTAGAAACACTTTGACATTTGGAGGTGATGCCTTGGCAACACGTCGACTCGTCAAAGGGTTTGAGCTGAGTTAAAAAAAATACATAAAGCTTACAGTATAATACCCTTGTGGCACAGGCTGTCTTCTGCATAGAGTCTAAATATAAATCTTCTTCGAGCATATCAATATCAGGCAATAAAATCAAACACGATCTGTCTTGTTGCTCAGCGATATACCATTAGGGATTACAGCGGATGGTCATACTTGTGCGAGCATAACGGTCGTTTAAACATGATAAATCTATTTTTCGCTAGAGCAGTTCAGTCCAATATATACCTCCCGGCAACCATAAAATCACATTAATAATAAAATCCATATGCAGCCCATGCAGTATTTAGACTGGACTACACATTGTTTGAAAACACAATGTGAACGTTTGGTTAGCACGAAGCTGAAGTGACCAAAAGGTAACTTTGAACTAAGAACGATAAAGGTCCATTACAATACTTTGTAGTTTCATTCATGGTGTCCCCATGCGGATCATTGGAGCCGACACGGTCCCTTTGTATTTGAAGTCTGGCTGCAATGTGCGTGAAAAGGACGTAAAACGGCCGACAGTCCCTAGTCACACGTGGAAATGTCTATGAAGTAAGTATTGAGAAGACTCGCAGAACATCACATGGATGGATTATGCGTAAACCTTCTCTCGCTGAGGCTAGGAGTCTGTCTCTCTCTGTCTTCCTCGTGTTATCAGTGTCCTGATGCAGTGTGGATATAGCCAGCTTCTGATCGCATTCATATGTCATCCTCGTCACCGTATCGCTGACTGGGTGTTATATTGCTTAATGTATTGCAATACATGACTTCACTCTTGCTCCCTTCATGTGCTGATTTTATATTGCTGTAGTACTAAATTCATTCAATTGTCGTAAACATTCTTGCTCTTGCGGAAGTCTGTCTGTCTGTCTGTCAGGAATTAACATAACGGGTATCAGGGTTTTGAGCCGTCCCAGCCCTAATACACACTGATACTGACAGTGGATGTGAGCATCTGCATCTATACTTTCAAATATCTTTCAACTATCATAATTGCTGTCACTGCAACACGGAGTGAGTGAGTTTAGTTTTACGCCGCACTCAGCAATATTCCAGCTATATGGCGGCGGTTTGTAAATAATCGAGTCTGGACCAGTGATCAATAGCATTAGCATCGATCTGCGCAATTGGGAACCGATGACATGTGTCAACCAAGTCAGCGAGCCTGACCACCCGATCCCGTTAGTCGCATCTTACGACAAGCATGGGTTGCCGAAGATCAATGCTAACCCGGACCTTCACGGGTCCTGCAACCATAAGGATATAGCAACCTCTATATTTATTTCTGTCTAGTATATATAGTTCCCACATATATCAACGTTAATTGTAATTCAAAACCAGAAACAAAACTACATTTGTGCATAAACATATACCCTACATTACTTCTCTTCGAACTTACACTGGACTAGGTGTATCGCTGAACAAACTAGTTCTGTGAATAATCGTAAAACAACGTTAAACGGTGTGTTATCAACATGTATATAGCGTATTTATTTTTCAATATGTTTTCAGAAAAAAGGCGCTTAAAAACAATGTTGCTGAATGAACAACCAGCACATATAGGTTATTTTGTATTTCTGCACAATCTTGGCAGCAAAGGTATTTTTTGTCGCTGAATTGGGCTATGCAAATATATAACGAGGTGTCAATTATATACAATATATAGGGAGATGATTTGGTGCCCACTGAGTAGCGTTCGGAAGTCGGTGGATTCGGATTAACGAGGACCGGATTACCGCGGCCTGACTGTAACTTAATCAATCAACTAACTTCCGCTTTCATTTCAAATCGCATAATATGTGAAAGATTGGTTGGACTCGTTTAAAATCATTCTTTACACCAAACTCTGTCCGTTTAGCATTCATTTGGTTGTAATGACTCAGAAATCTGTTATAAAAATATCTGCGTTCCATTTGTCGATATTCATTACACTTAAAAAAGTGTTTACCTTTCAGTACTTTATTAGTAGGTTTAGTTACATTTTCGTATTCTAACCGTCGAGTTGACAGTTTTCAGACACGCTAAGTTAGTATTCCAATATATCTAATCGTAAAGACAGTTTGCGTGTAATGGCGTCTGTGTGTTGTGTAGAGAGTTGAAATACATCTCATTTGGACGACACAGGCGTTGTTCTATATCCATATGTCACCTCTAAGTCTGTCTTCTAATCTCTCAAAGACAGCATTCAATGTTACCGCAGAGGATACTGCCCGGAAGAAAGGCATTTCACGAATCTGGAGTCTTTGAAGACCTCCATCAGGCTTGTGACACAGTTTGAACCAGCTGTACATCCGTGTTCTGTCTTAATCACTTCATCGACATGACTGCACGGCAAAGTCAAAATGTCCCCTACGGTTTCATGACCATAAGACATTCGTTATCTAAATAAAAAGCCAAAACAAGACGCATTTGCGAAATGCCTACAATCGACATTGCTGTCTCCTGCTCATGAGAATCTTGGGTTTTTTATGAACCATTTAGAGTTCTCTTATAATTTCCGCAGACATGGGCAAGATTGCTGTGCAAAGAATTGTATTTATTTTAAACTTTCGACGACAACACATTCTTTGTTGACGTCATGCATCTTCAGCTACACAAGAGTAAGTATTGACTGATAACACAGAAATAGCTGTCCAAAGACCCATTTGCTGCAGTAAGCCTACAAGAGACATGTCGCCGTTTCATCCGTTTCTGCAAATGCAATATATTACTGTGTAACAAAGTAAAATCTATACAATCAATGCTGTGGCCTGACCTTTGAGGACTGCATACAATAATGATTTCTTTGGTCTATTTTACCCATTTTCCTATCGTACCGGCTTGTCAAAATAATCGAGATCGTCAGCTAATTAAGAGCATCCCCAGAACTTCTACATGTTGACCGGTAATAGAAGAGTATTACAGCGATGACATTCGTGCTATTGTTTAGACAACGAGATTCCACTGGGATTGAATCTAAATTTACCATGCAGCGATGCTCTAGATTGTCACAGGTCAAGGTTAGTTTCGGACTTCAACAACATATTTACATTTTATTCAAACTGTGTCCGTATGTGGGTAGAAAAGGATATGATTGCATTTTTCATTTTGTCATAACTGACTTTCCATTTAATTGCCATCACTACTTAGCCTTTTTCGTCAAATGGAATCTGCTTCGGTAGATGATGCAGACTGGTTATGCTGTAGACGAAATAAAAAACCGGGTTCCAAAGAAAACAAACTGAAAAAGAAAGATACATAATGCATAGAATTCTGCTTGAAATTCCGTTCCTCAGGGCAATAAATGACAAAACGTCAAAAGTCAATGTAGAAAATCCTGACATATACACAAAACATAAAACAACGATAGAGAAAATTCAAAATCCAAGTCTTTATTTCTTGGAGGCAAAGAATTGATTTGGATATAATGGAAAAGAAATTCCGAAAAAAGATTTTTGTGTGTGTGTTTTTAAAAAAAATATATAACATAGAACACAATTTTGAAAACTGATAAAAACGCTTTTACAGATAGCTAAATGCAGCCAATTACTGGCATTGACGAGGAAAGACCAAGCATTCCAGGGATTGGTTTGGGGAACAGCTGTGGCCTACTCCCGGCAACTACAGCCTTGAGAGTCCAGTGACAGACGATTACAATGATAATGTGCATCACAAAATAGGTCTCCATTGTTGTGTTTCAATTATGACACCTGTTTGTGTCGGAAAAAATAAAGCAGTCAAAATCTACTATGGCACCATGGTGTGATAGTATTAGAAACTTTTATTGGAAACTGTTCATCTGTGTCCATACACCATTTACAATGACCCACCTGTTTCAATTCTCCTTTGGATACAGGGGGTGGTCCCAGCAAAGAAAGATGACTTGGCTAATGGTAAGATCATTCGACCAGTATCCTTGTCTGAATACAAAGTACAAAATATGTACAGGGTGTCATTACACGACACTTACAATGATATTATCTATATGGAGAAAGGATTACGGACGGGTTGTAAGTGTTGCCAACATCAATTGTTGGTTGCAAAATGACCCTTGAAGAGACCAAAGGCGTACCACTGTAACCTCTCAATGTATTGGCTACACAACAGAAAAGCTTCTTCAGAAAAGCTCCTGCATCTAACGAGTGAGTTTTGAGGTTACTGATATGTATTCACCTCCCGGAACAATTGCTTCTTTTACTCAAATCCAAGGGATAATCAACACATTTTCAAATTCCAGTTTCTCCATTTTTCATCGCTTTTAAATGACATTCCTTTGGACTTGACAAATGCAACATTCTTCATCTGATAGATTGACGAGGCAGGGTCAGTCAGTTTAATAGGGAGAGGAATTTTGGACCATCTCGTGAAAGGTCATGCCTCCACCTACTTTTGATGCAGGTTAGAGACAAACTCGAAAATGCCCACATGAAGGATAAACCTCAGGCAGAATACAAATGTAAACTTAGAACGTCTGGAGTTCAGAGCTGTATGCTGGCAACAACGCAAAAGCCAACAATCTTATTCTGTAGCCGTCCTTTCTTTCTGTTGGTGACTGGACGAGACTAAGAAATGCAGTGTACTGACACATTCCCGCTCACCCTGGCCGACAATAGACCCCACCACCTTCGCTCTTTCCCCAATCACATACATTTATCAATTACAATGGGGAATGGCGGGCTCGTGGTTTGATTAACGTGGAGGCTCTTCGTGTCAGGTTTTAAAGCAGGTCAAGACTCACGATGAAAACAAGACATTCTGTGGGTTTCTTAAACGGGCCAAGGAAATAGGACATAATCTTAATGTCAGTGTTGATTTTGTTAATGATTCCTTACTGCGAAAGGTACAGAAAACAGGGTGTCGACCAAACAAAGTGCCATATCAAATCAGCACAGACTTCGTTTTTCAAAGGAAGGTTCTCTGAACGACAGTTGCAGTCTGTTGAACATCAACCCTGACTTTGCCCTTCTTGATAACTCTAATGATATTGAATCTATCTAATTGAATTCTCTGTCACTTTTGACGGTAATGTGACTGACAAGATTCAGGAAAAACATGACAAATGTGTGAACCTTGCTGACTAACTGTCACACTTACATCCCAAGTATCAAGTTTTCCGATTCCCCAATGTACTCGGTGCCTCAGGTTTGGCACCTCCCAGTGCGTTGACTGATAGAAACACAGTCCTTTTGACACTCTGGGTAATGCAGAAAGCTGAGTTTGGGTCTAGTCTCCGAGACGTTCTTGGTTTGTTCGACGAGGCAGCACTTCCTTGGGGAAATCCCATTCACTGTCCGGCATACATATAAAGGGGGCAAGGTCCATGAGCTGATGATGAGCCAAACCAGCCTGTGCACGGATCACCCCAACCCTCTTTGCTGCTGTCTGTTATTTTAACCAGTAGAATAATGCAAAAAAAATGGCACAGTGACCAGGGTTGCTGCCGGAACAACAGCCCTTCAATGTAGATACTACTACTACTACTACTACTACTATCGTTACGGCTGCTACTTCTACTGCTGCTGCTACTACTGCTACTACCACTACTATTGTTGCGGTTGCTACTACTACAGCTGCTGCTGCTACTTCTACTACTGCTTCTATTACCACTGCTGCTGCTTCTACTGCTACTGCTGCTACTTCTACTACTGCTTCTACTACCACTGCTGTAGCTACTACCACAAGTGTTGCGGCTGCTGCTTCTACTGCTACTACTGCTACAACTACTGCTACTGCTTTTTCTACTGGGGAGAAGTCCCGTTCACTGTCTGAGGAGCGGACAATGGCTGTGAGCTGATAATGAGCCTCTGTGAAAGAATTTAAAACTATTGTAGCAATTCGAGATACTTACGAGTTGAAATCTCAAGAGAAATGACATTGTAATAGCACTAAATGTAGTGTCCTGAAATTTATATTAAGTATCCTGAATGTCAGCATGCCAAAGGAGGACAAAAACATAGCCCTGATGAGATTCCGTATAAATTGCCTCGTAAAATCGTTATTTTTCTGAACATAAATTTTAGTGTATAATTGGCGTCAGTGCTTATTTGGAAGCGACAAGACATCCCATATTAAGCGATTGAGTAAAGCTGATTGCAGACTTAGCCAAGAACGGGTTCTCGTTTGACAAAGCGATCTTAACGCTACGACAATCACATGTCCTATACTTTAACATAGAGTTACGTCAGTAACATATCTTTGCATAATCTGTGTGCAAACAAGTACTACCTCAGTAACATGTTTAAGCAACCACAACATATTTTCCCCTGGTGAAGTCATACAATGATCTCGATTTAGAAATTTCCCCTGTGCATAAGATTCTGATTTGTGTTCTGAGAGGTGTAGCCAAGTGGATACAGCGTTCGCTCGACGCGCCTAACGTTTGAGTTTGATTGTTCACATGGGTGCGATATATGAAACCGATGTCTCCTAGCATCAATTTTGCTGGAGGATTGCTTAACTACTCATTTTTTAGTGGAATGCAATTTAAATTATACAAAGTAAAATATTGTTATTTTGATGTGATAAGTATACCACCCTGAACAATCTCGCCCAAACGCTCCTGCTCGAAACGGACACAAATATGTCCCCCTCGACGTAAATCGATCCCTATCCAGATGCTATCTATTTGGGATTAATGAGATTTGATTATCTTCAGATACGGAGACTTAATCAGCGGTACTCCTCAGGTGGTGTTTTTACTCAGCGCAATAAAAACAGTGCACGTGCACTTAAGCATCAGTTTCATGGCCTGACCGTACCATCAACACATTCTAAGCAAACACGGTTTACCATACCATAACATTCTACTGAGAGCCACGCTATGGCTCTAGGCTGTTTTTTCTATAAACATCCAGACGTCCGTGATAGCCTTGTTGACAGGTATAAAACGTTACAAATCACTTAAATGATGTTTTCTATGATGGACAATAAACAGATCTACTTCTCGGAGCGGTTTTTGCTTCAAGACAGACGTTCCTGTCGTTGCTGCACTGACTTATTACTCGCATTGTATTACCACTTGATCAAAGAGCTTTTGCTGGTAATATCTGCTGGCATTTAATGGTAATATCGGCATGTACATTGTTCTTGCAGTCTCGCGATATTTCGCGTAACGATACATTTAACAAGGAAAGTAGTCTCGTCTGTCTTGAGAGAGAATATTTACTTTCTCTCCGATTAGCGAAAGTATGAAAGTTGTTATCTGTCTGATTGAAGAAGTGTTTGGTGTATGCAGGAGTATGGAGAACGTCATGTTGTATGTCTGCTGAAATGATTTAGGTGTGATGTGAGGTTTCGCTTGCGAGATTAAGGTACTTCTATCACAACGTGTGTGTGCATCTGCGTGTGTGTAAATGTGTTAGTTCGTGTGTGTGTTTGTGTGTGTGTGTGAGTGAAAGTGTATGTGTAGAGACCATATCGGCATATAGTATCTGGTGTGTGTGTGTCAGGATGAGCGTGTTAGTGTGTGCGTGTTAGAGTGTGTGAGTGTTAATGTGTAGTGTGTGTGTGTAAGGGTTAGAGTGAGCGTGTTAGTGTGTGCGTGTTAGGGTGAGCGTGTTAGTGTGTGCGTGTTAGAGTGTGTGAGTGTTAATGTGTAGTGTGTGTGTGTAAGGGTTAGAGTGAGCGTGTTAGTGTGTGCGTGTTAGTGTGTGCGTGTTAGGGTGAGCGTGTTAGGGTGAGCGTGTTAGTGAGTGTGTGCGTGTTAGGGTGAGCGTGTTAGGGTGTGCGTGTTAGGGTGTGTGAGTGTTAATGAGTGTTGTGAGTGAGTGTGTGTAAGGGTGAGCGTGTTAGGGTGTGCGTGTTAGGGTGTGTGAGTGTTAATGTGTAGTGTGTGTAAGGGTGTGCGTGTTAGGGTGTGTGAGTGTTAATGTGTAGTGTGTGTGTGGTTTTATAGCGTAAACTCACTCAGATACCATGCCTCAGTTCAACATGGAAACGCCCATCAGACATAGTAGCCACTGAATTATTCCGTCAAAGCAGAGGTGAAAAGGGAGCCCGAAGTCATCTATTCCAAAGTACACTCTTCCAAGCAGCCTAAAACGGTCATCAACGAATCTTAATCTTTTTTTTAAAACCCCCAATTTAATCAATAATGCTTCTAGCAGATAAGTCTGAGGATTATTAGTTTTGGACTTACGCCCGTCCTTCTTTGACAGTTTGTTTATATTTCGCCATTTACGTCAACAGGATACACAAAAGATAAAATATCGCATAATATATACAAACTCTTATTGATAACAATAGCAAAACCTTAGCAAATTATGTACTGAGTTTAGTTCGCTGGTTCTCTGGACAGGTTGTGTTTCGGTTAAACAACAACATGTTTACCCACAAAGCAACAAGCATGTCCAGGGAGTAACAAACTAAAACGTAGTCCCGCACGTCTAAGGGACGCAACTCTGCGTCATACGTATCCTTGAAAAATGACAACAAATCAAACCATTATATCGACATTTTGTTTACATATTTGTCAAGAGGCTGAACTTAATGCCGCAGACTGTACCGTTAGGTAAATACTCGCATATCACAATTCCGTTTCGAAATAATTTTACATACTCAGGAAAAGAACATCTTAAGATAGTGTACACAACATGACTTATTGAGTAAACATGAAAAAACAATACATTTACCACATCATATGGTAAAAACAAAACTTGACAGATATATATCTTTGGAAGACATTCGTCTAATTTTAGTCCAACCTTACATAAGTGCAAGTTCAAGGGTATAGGGAAATTCTGAATTATAAACTTCCAAATGCACGTTTAATAAATACACATGCAAACAATATCTTTAATAGAGGAATATTAGAATGAGTCCGCAGGTATGGTTTTACTCCAAAATTCCAGCAATATCACAGAAAATTCAAGAAATGGACTTCAAGCACTGTACTTATGTGGGGAATCGAACCGGGGTCTTCATCGGGAGGAGCGAACGCTTTAACCACTAGGCTACCGCACCGCCCCAGATGAATATCCGAAAGCTTTTTTGGATCAATTCTAACCCGAATCTTCACGGGTCTTCAAGTCACGAGATTACATGTGAAGCAGTCAGAATATAATAATTCAACCACATTTCCACAGAACTTCTCCATTCGGTTATTGCCCATACTGCGTTATCATCTCCAAGAGAAGAAAACACGTAAACATGAAGGCCAACATCCGTCTTGAACCCGACAAAGAGAAAACATGCCAATAAAAAACACTAATTAGAACAGCAAGATTGGTCCAAAACTACTACCGCCGTTAAAGCACATTCAAAGACGTCCTTCTTGACAGCGCCAAAACTCCTTACAGCGATAAAACCACGTGAAGGGTTCACGCTCACCCACCAGATGTTGGTAATCGTACTCAATTCAGCGCTCTTCAGCGTCAGCAAAGCAAATGATGACCGATTGGAGAATTCCCTACGGCAACATGTTCAAATTGTAAGACAGCTTGCGTAAAATGTTTTGAAATCTCCGTGATTACACGCCTTCAACGCTATTACGCGATGCCATACCGCTGCTCCGAACATCGCCTTTCTTGGCATAATGGGAAGCATGATTGTCAGAAAAGACCAATGTTCGCTCATCACTGCACGCCTTTCCTACATTGTAACGAACCATTAATCTTTGGAGTCTAATACGCGCTGTTTTGGCTTTGGATCTATTGATGTTACTTTGTCAAATGATTGTCAAAGGGGTGGTTGCATTTGTGAAAGAAAAATGTTTGCCTTCAACATTTATTTGATCAAAATCAATAATGGACGTCGTGATCTCCTTATTGTGTGGGGATTATGACGTCATGGTACCAGTAGATGGCGCATGGAAGGAAAACAACAGCTTTCAGATCACTCTGATGTTTCTCGATGTTGTTTTCATCTCCATCTTGTACAAGAAAACATAGTTTGAGCCCCGAGAAAAATATGTATCAATACGTATACACTACTATGTAATATATGATCTGGGACAAAGGAATAGCCCAGTGGTTAAACATCACGCCTATGGTACTATGGTCACTGTGTATACTATGGTACTACCCTACACTGACACTACGATAGATGGAAATATTAGTGTAGCAGACGCACGTATACCTATGGCGCCAGAGCTTGTTCCACGCTTCCAACACATCTCCATAACGCTTCAAGCACTCAAAACTCTTCTGAAAACATTTCAATTCAAACGAGCACATGACTTTCTCTCTAACTGGACGTTTTAAAATGGCTAACTTTACTGTCGACATAACACTTTTCGAAACCCAGGAGTATGGTTGTACCGCTAAACATGATTGGAACGGGTTTGGAGACAAGGAGACTCTTGATCAGATTAGCATCTTCTTTGAGAGGCATTTAGAAGTTGGCGCAGTAAGGAAGGATAACAATATATGGATGAACAACTTCTGTTTTCATCCTAGCATAAGAAATAGCCATTCTATGGACACTTCTGTTAGTAGTGACAAAAATGTATTGTTAAGTTTAGCAAAGATAAGAAATACTTCAAATTATGATTAGCTTTTCAGCATATGAGCTGAAATATTGTTTGATAAGGTTGTATAATACTCTATTGTAATTTTACAAGAGTCTCTTAGATTTATCATGTGACAACACTAATAAGGTACCTGCAATGTACGACCAGCATCAACACACTTGTTACACATTACTGCAATATGGGCCATGGCCTTGAATACATGAATAAAACTGTCTGTCTGTCGGAACAACTTCATTATTTCTGTGAGAGCTTCCAGATTAGCATCGGGAAACCATTGTGTCATTATTTCTTGTTCTTGCCTACACTTGGAACGTCCAGGACACTTTCCGACACTGCCGGACCCGTGAAGATCCGGGGTAGAATAGGTCTTAAGCAACCCATGCTTGCCACACAAGGCGACTATGCTTGTCGTAAGAGGCGGCTAATGGGATCGGGTGGTCAGGCTCGCTGACTTGGTTGACACATGTCATCGGTTCCCAATTGCGCAGATCGATGCTCATGCTGTTGATCACTGGATTGTCTTGTCCAAACTCGATTAATTACAGACCGCCACCATATAGCTGGAATATTGCTGAGTGCGGCACTAAATTCACTCACTCACTCACGATTCGTCGACAACCTACTGTGGAGACATTTGAGGATATGCCACTTTTAAAGACATCGTCTAACAAAGGCTAACAACGACTCACAAAGGCTAACAATAACCAATAACCGCAATCACGTGTTGGTAAGATCCCTGCCAGAATTACGTCTATATTGCGACAAAAACTCTTTTTCACATATCAAAAAGTCTCAGTGTGTGTCAGTCTAAGATCGACCTCTCCATCAACATCCCAATTTATCCCGAAATAGCTAAACTACACAGTGATTGTTGATTTACAATGTTGCTAACATGTCTGCACAATAAATGCCTGTGATTACGCGACTGGAGGACTGACTCCCCTTGCCTACATCTACAGTCGACAGTGAGTGACGAGGAAATTACCTCGTTCAGTCTTCAGAACACTTCGCACGCAATTTCCCCTATTTTGAAATACATGACATCTATATGCGCGGCCTTTCGTTCGTTATCATGACATTGGCCCTTGGAGAATTAAATGGTCCCAATTTGGCCGCGCCGAGACAAGAGTAGGAGCTACACCCGACTATTAGTCGCAGACTGGACAGAACAGGACATGGCTTGGAACCCACCAGCCACAGATATTGCCCAGGGGTGAGCAAGTAGCTTTAAAAACATCTAATGACACAGTCCGTGTGCATGATAGGTTGGAAATCGTCAGTCTGTAATTACCATATAGATGTCTGCAAAGGGCATAAGGTGCTGGAAGAAATACAGACCAAACATGCCTACAGTCAGAGCTGTGTACAGATGCTTCTCCTTTGCGCCCCGGTTGGAAGGTTGTGCAATGTAGATTAATGGCATTCAAAAGAGGAAAGCGAGATTGATATATACGAGCAATTGCGGGAGACCCTGGATGAATATATGCACTGCAAGATCTGTTGTCATCGTGGAACCTACGATACACTCTAAGAATGGTGAAAACAGATGTAATCACAGTTAATATTTTAATGTTTATCATTATCAAGAATAAAAACTTGATATTGAAATGTCATTTGGATTTTATTCATGGATTGTCTACAGTGCTCAGATGAGGTATTTTGATGTTTTATATACATTATCAATGAAATGATTTTGTCATTTGTTTAACGTACCTTCTGAATTTTAAAGTTTAAGTTCAAGAACTCGATCTTCATTTACTGCAACCAGTAGCCCAGGAATGACACACATTTATCAAAGAGAATATTCAACATCAAACATTTTTGGTGCCATTATATTGAGTGAGTGATATTTTACTTTCGTCCACTCATACATGCAAATTGAAACCCAAACTGTACAATACGTTTCCCTTGCTTATGTTACATTTGCCTATGGTCATCGCCATTATCTAATCACTACGGCCACACGAGACCAATCTAAAGGTCGCCTGACCAAAGGACAGTGGTGCTTGTTATACATCAAATACATATTTCAATCATCCTTTCAACAAATATCAAGCACCAGAACATGATTGAATCTCCGACCTTAACCAAATCATATTTCAAGCTTCGTCCTCGCAGGATCGGTGTCCGTCCTTACGAGTCCTTGATCCAAGGTCGTCTCTTTGAAACTGGGCAAGGTCATGACGACCCTAGGGACAAGCAGCCTCAGAGTGAGACAGACAAGAAGCGCGTAGCAAGCCGTCCGTGGATACTTCAAACCAGCAGACCGAGTAATTTGATTCCAGCATCCTATAGCTCCAATGATGTTGAGTATACGTTATTGAAGCCGAGGCAGGTGATACAACCAACATCAGCATCTGGGAGGATATTGAACGTCAGCGGCAGACTGCATTGTAACACAACCTAAGGCGACACGTATTGATGAAACTCTGCTGGACTCATATAGCTCCGCTCTACACTAACGACTTATAATTACAGTTAGAGCAAGGCATAAAGATAGGGATTCCTCTTCATTAATTCTTCACTGCAAAGGGTAATGGTGTTCCATAATACAATTTTTTCCTTACTCTAAATTTAGATTGAGCTGCCGAAAATTTGCTTTAAATTCAATATTGCTCAGAACGACCACGAAATTATCGATTTCATCTCTGGTTTGTTTGCAACCTGTTTAGTTGTACGTATGTCCTGGCGGATATTTATAGATGTACTGTATTCTTGGAAACTAGTTACATCATTCTTTATTTTCAACAGCACTGTTGCTGAGTTTCCCTTTTTGTGAGTTAACTTTTATTTACTGCCAAGTTTTGTAAAAATGTATTTTTAACTGCACAGTCATCAAACTGATGACTTAAGAACAAAAGACAAGTTATGTTGTGACGTAAATGCACTGTTTAAACGCATTCGTTACAAAGCAATCGTTTTTAGAGCTCCTATAAAAACACTTTGCTTCTGAAGGAAAGAATCGGAACAACACAGGCAATTTATTTTATGGACGTATCCAATTAAATTTAAAGCTCTCAAGTGTATATATATTTTCGGATAAATAATTCATGACGGTTGGTAATTAAGTCATTTATCAATAAATATTCGAGTTGGTCTGTATTGAATATAGTAGCCAATATATTGTAGTCACTCCTTGCCTTAAACCTTTGGCCTCAAAGGCTTCAAAACATTTGAACACATTACATCCCGAGGCTTTCAATTTATTTTTTGGCCCCAGAGGAATATATTAGATTGAAAACAGATTTTATCGACAAGCGGCCATTGTGATTAGAATGCCTAATACCACCTCTTCGGGGTTTTAGTCCGCTAATGGCTTAGAACCGCTCGACGAACAGTGCCATTCACAGCCCGAACTTTGTTAGAGATGGTACAAATGGAATACACGAATCCAAGGATATCGCTAATAGCAAAACGCCAATGCGGAATCAGATAGTTTTTGTTGACATTCAAACTGCATCCTATGTTGAGGATTTGGTGACTGCCAGACAGTAGGGCAACGGAGGGTGTTTGACAATACTCGGGAGTTTTTTTTATCTTGTAATTGAAATCTTTGAAATTCCGCATTTCACGATAAAGGTGTATTAAGGCGGATTATTGAGTTGGAATGGACTTTCTTAGCCGAAAGGTTACGTTAATGTGTATGCATTGTGGTGGTGCAGGTGTGTGGCTTAGGAGGGCTGGTTTGAGAAACGGATTGACTCTGAAAATAGAATGTCGTTTGAGATGCTTGAAAGCAGCAGGTATGTTCAACGTGGGGTGAATGTTTATGTGTAGTGAAATCTCAGTGGAGCTGAATGATATATGCAGTGAGATCTTTAATCATCAAGTGATTCGGAGCCCTAAGTGTTTTTAATGTTTCGTTTCGATGACCGTGGTGTCTGAGAAACAATTCAAAGGTTATGACAACAGATGATGTTCAATATAAATACCATCAGTTATTGTTCTCTATATCTCTGCCATTTGGTAAATGAGAAGACGTTACCGACGTTGGATTTCCGCAAATAAGAGTTTACCGTTTCAATTTCAAAAGAGATTTTTTCAACAGTTACTCCATTTCATTATGAGACCCCTTCCGTATCGCCTTTCCCATCTCAATCAACCGTCAACTGTTTGGCCCTGTTCACTGAAATATTCCTTCAGTTGGTATTTTTTTCATTTAATGGAACAAGCAAATCTAAATCTAAAACATGGTTGAACTATATAGAACAAACTTTATGGATAACAACTTCTTTTTATTCGTGAGTGCGACGTTTCGATACAGATTCTTGTACCGTTGTCATTATGCTTGACAACGGTACAAGAATCTGTATCGAAACGTCGCACTCACGAATAAAAAGAAGTTGTTATCCATAAAGTTTGTTCTATATTGTACTTCCCAACTTCTAAAATGCCACTCAAACAAGTTATGGTTGAACTAACCTTGCTATTTCTTTGTAGAACATCTATGAAGCTCTCTCAAATTGTGATTACTTGTGTATGAACAATTCCCAGTCCGAGCTTGGCACCCGTGAAGATCCAGGTTAGAATGTGTCTTCGGGAACGCATGCTTATCGTAAGAGGCGACTAACGGGATCGGGTGGTCAGGCTCGCTGACTTGGTTGACACATGTAATTGTATCCCAGATGCGTAGATCGATGTTCATGCTGTTGATGACTGGATTGCCTGGTCCAGACTCGATTATTTACAGACCGACGCCGTATAGCTGTAACATTGCTGTGTGTGGCGTAAAACAACGAATAGATCTAGCTTGCAATTGGCAGTTGACGTATCCTCATCCACCCAGGCTCATCCCTTTGGCAGGAGAAAAAACAGAACAATCGAAACATGGCTCGACGAACAGAGCCATAAAAATTCTCCTCGAACCGTGTATCGGTAACTTACTATAAGGTGTCATAGGTGTCCAATGTGTCATACTCTAACGTTATTGTGACACGTTCATCTACTCTCCAGTGGATGACTTTGTTTGAAGCCATTGTATCCTCTCATCGAGCACTGGACACTGAAGTTGCTGTGCTTGAGTGTAGGTCAATTCAGAAGAAAGAAAAAAGGAATAAAGGGTAATCTAATGTCACTTCCATCATTCTTCCGATATAGCGCAAGTGTCTGAAGCGTGTATAACGTATATCGGTTGTCAATCAAGCATGTAAATGAAACACGAAACATATTATGAATGAGCCATTGTATGTAAGCATAACGGCAGGCCTCCAGAAAGG